GATACGACAACTCAATTTAAAAATCGCTGGGGTCGTTGTGGAGATACCCTTAAACCTGGTCCATCGGCACTACGGCACAGATCATAGAGAATGCAGCTCGTGCAGCCAATATCCATTTTGTAATCTGTGCACAGACACGCTTCCTACACGGATGCACGCGGAGAATCGCAGGTAGGATAGGTGCAGGCAGGCGAGCAGGTACGCGAATAGGATAGGTAGATTCCTAGGTATGTGCATCTCTTTTGGCCGCGTTGCACATGCGAGCTGGGTATCTGATTCCCCGACGGAAGTCCCGTTCTTGCTCAATAACGCAGACGATCTGCCGGGAATAATGATTGTTTCACGGGCAACGGATTTGTACGTACAATGCAACGGACGAGTTCTCGTCCTACGAGGCATCCCGTCCGTGTGTATCGCTCGTAGCTAAAATTAATCTCCCAGGTAAAGAACGGTAACACACGCTCATTTCCTTCGCGATGGAAATCGTTTTCATTTAAAGGACTTTGGTGCGAGGAAATGGAATTGATTTTTATCACACCGACACAAACTATGTACCGCTATACATCGCGCCTAATGCTAAGCCTCAGCGGATGTGAATAAATTCCGCGGAATACGCGTTTGTCGGCTCACTATGTATGTTAGAACGATCAATGATAAAAAGCGATACGGATTCTTAATTAGGAGTTAATCGTCAGTTGTATTGCAGGTGGAATTCGTTACATTTGCGTGTTATACACCTGTGTACTCGCATATCTCCGATGTGTGAGAAAGACGAGGAAATTGCATGATCATATTACGAGGATTGAAAGAGATGAAAGAATGTGAGTGAAAATTGAATAACAGATGAGTGGGAAAACACGCGTATGTACATTATTTCGTGGATTGTGAGACTGGGCGATATCCAAAATTATGCACATGTCTTTTCATATATATTTTCGACATATTTCATATTCAGATGTGCATAATCAACAATGTAAAAATCACTGATATAGATATTTTTTAATGGAGAAAGATATATATGTACACGATATATTATAATTATGCAATCTCTTTCTATATCTGTTTTCTACAAATAAATTAGCGTTTTCTATCGCAGATAAAATAATCGCTTGGATCATCATTTATCGATATTATGAGAACGTTGGCGATTAATATACATACGTCGGCATAACACGTGTAAGATTTGCGTCACGTTCGCACTCGGAATAAAACGATAACGATGCTATCTGTAAACATGTAATAAAAAGGAACATCGAACTTTGACGCCAATGTATTGCGCGTAATATTATATCAAGAGTAGTTCATCAAGATCAATTCTAGATCAAAGGAATGATTCTGTCGGCAATCACCTGCCCCATGTGCACAGTTATACCCGACGACAGGTATTGCACCTGTAATACACCTGCATCCGATTGCCCGATTCGGAAGGAATTTATCGCTCCGCGCCGATTATCGGAAGTTTATCTGCATTGTCGGGAATTGCAAGGCAAGATTTATTATCAATACGAATTGGCACATTAAGACAATCAATCACATTTTTAATCAAATTTTTGTTATATCGCCAGCACTAATATTCTTCTGAAATCTATGATCAATCTTTGCATCAATAATAATGATTATTCGATTATTATATATTTTATATAGAAGATTAAAATCTTTTATTCTAATTATCATTTAAAAGAGATAACAAAGATGTAAATTTAAAAAAAATGCATCACTCAGATAAAATCTAGAAGAAAATGTCGGAAGAAGACCAGACGAAATTCTCGTGAATTGACGGTTCGTCATTTAATTATCGATCATTATACGTACCGTGAGTAAAGTACAATTTATGATGACCACGGTTGATTCGCCAGTGGCCAAAAGTAGGAAAAGTAGACAGGAAATGAGGGCGAGTTTTAATTTAATGTACCCGGAGTTTCGTTTAATTGTTATTTACGACAAACGATCACGCGATTGTCGAGAGAAAGGGAAGAGATGCCGGCGTTTGATTTGTCGGCGTTAAGTGCGAAAGGGGCAAAGTGAGGTAGAGAACGTGTAAAGATGTATGGCTGATTTAGAGGACTATAATCCGCGACAATTATCACCGCATCGATATATGGCTTTAAGTCACGCGGGTTTCTAAATTTATTGCCTGATATTAAAGTGCGCATGTGAAAAAGAAGTTTCACATTTTTCGCAATATATGCGTCGCGAAAATAAACGATAATAATCGATTAATTTGCGCTCTCTGCAGTTGCGATAAATAAAACCGACACACTTTCTAGACGATAATATATCTAATTTTATAATCTACATTTTTCTTTTTTCATTCGCGTTGAAAATTTCTTCCTCCTCAGAATTTCGTTTTACTCGTTTATTAATAAAATTCTGAATACACAGAGAAAGCTACATGAAAAGAAATCGAGACATCCATAAAGTCGCACGCGTAAGCATCCTACTCGTATGGAAACACAGTATCGACTTTATGGCACGCACTGTAGAGCCACTCAACCCGTTAAAAGAACATCGTCATGCACTTCGGCAGGCTAAATTCGAAACGGTCTGTACATTACGAAGATATGCATTTATACCGCATCTATGCGTCTGGCGCGCACGCCGCGCGTTCGACACGCCGTACGTTATGCACCTTGCGCACTCTCGGGGCCTCTCTCCCCCGCGCATCGGTCTTTCAGACGGAATGCCGGAAGTTTCGATATTTTTATCCAGGCGGCGTAAAAGCCGCGACTACAATCCGCCATGCAATAAAATCGGCGACAAGCCGTGAATTCGTGACACGACGCCCATAAAGGGATTTATGCGAACGTTCGAGAGAGAGAAAGAGGAAGAGATAGGGAGTGAAAGAGACCATCCGACGCTGACATCGAAAACGTTATCAATGACAAAGATATATACGCATACGTTTGCATTTAAATTGCTTGATCCGGTGGATAATTTTTATTGCACGACGATGTTGCAAAAGTCGGCAGTTACTGGGCAAGATAATTTATGTGAAAAGAGATATCTACATTTTTCAAAATAGCTGAGTTAATAGAAAGTCTGCTAATTCCATTTGTGTTGTATTAAGATAAATATGATTATTATAATGCCTATGTTTTTAGAGATTTCTATAAAATTTGGCATGTAATATTTTATATTAATATTTGAGATCATTTAAAAAATGTACTGCAAATAAAGCACGTGTATCAGTATCTTAAAAGTTATAGTGTGGCAGCAAAGAATTCAGAGAATTTTATAACATATATAATAAATCAAATAATCTAATGTGATTTGCAAAAATGCATTATGTATAAATACATTTATTGTGTTATCTCGTTATAAATTCTGGCTTGACAGCTTTATAACTCTATTGTTCTTATCATACAATCTTGCAGATCATAAGCGGTGCTACGTTACTAAAGACATTCCAAACGGTATATAGTAATAAACCTATTTGTAGTTACAACTTTCGCATGACAGAGAAATAATCAAGCCAGATTAAACCGATACATATGTTTAAGAAGGACTTCCACCGTTATAAAGGCATAATAAAGAATACAAAAATGATGTAGATATGTTAATATATTTTATCAGTTCAGAATATTTCATTTAGAACGTTTCATTAACTTTCGCATAAATTTTGTTAAATAAAAAAATATTACTACTTTAAATTATTAATAAATTTTTTTTTCTCATTTATAAATCTTTGCACACAAAATTTTATTAAAATTCATTAGTTCAAATTCTCACCATTGCTCTTACTTTCGAATTTTTCGAAACATTCCATCCATCTCAATTTAAATCTTTTATAGATATCGTTAAATAATTTTAACCAAAGGAATATGTGGAAAACCATTTTGAAATATCTGCATAGTTGCATTACGAAATATGAAATATGAGAGAGCAAAATATTAGAATTAACAATTGTATGATTAATATCATACAATCTGAATCGCAATTTTTTAATGATTTTACCGTCAATAGTTTTAGTTATCAATGATCTACATTTGATGTAAATGTCAGACACGTTTAAATGTACTTTCAATCTCCAGATAATCAATTGCATTTCGCGCATAATAGAAATTATACCGTTGCCGGAAATAGATTTACGATATCTTTTACAATGGAGATGAATCTGCCTTAATAGCGATACACAAGCGCAATTAATTGATATTATCATAAATAAAGCAGATGATAACATCAGTAATTTTGAATCTAACTTGTCGTTGTATAATCTTCAAATATTATCATTATAGAATAATTTTTTTTCTCAAGTATTGAGAATTATAATCATAGTCAATCAATTTTAAATATCAATTTTAAAAATATTGTGTTAATAATTATACTTTTTATAATTTTTTGTTTGTAATAATAACATTTATATGTCTATCAGAATAATAAAAAGTTAATTGTTAAAATAATTAAAGATTGTTTTAAAAAGTGTTCAGATTTAACATATAGATTAAGTTACATCATAAATTTTGATATTAAAGGATTATGGAAAAGAAACTACGTGTGTATCAAAAAAGCACATACGATAAAAGAATGTCTTTTCGATTAGGCAAACTGTGTTTGAAATGCTCGGCTCTTTTTTTCGCGGAAGATCCGATATCGAAGGAGAAAGAATTGTTTCAGGACGCGATAAAGATTGAGAGAAGTGCAAAGATCTTATTGTTAGTACAAAGCAAGAACGACAAAGGAATTGCATCACCGCGCTAAATCTCAAACATCCGAGATACGTAATCAATATTCAATCGGTACAATTGATTGATTTCTTTCCTATGTCACGTTGACGTTTTGGTTCGGATAACTATAAAAGACGGTTTCCATAAAAATTAAAAATTACGTATGTATCTTTGTGAAAAAAATATGAATATAATATAAATTCATTCAATTTATATATATATATTAAGAAGCAAGGCACTTTGATTGCATCGATTTATTTTCGCTATCATATATATATATATTTTACACGTGGCTTTCCACATGTACATTCTATAAAAAGTATTATGCAAACTCACCGTGATGCCTTCAGGCCGTCGTAACCTTTTAAAGAACGATGTTCTTCTAAATGACCGAAAAGATTTTTCAATTCAGAGAGCTGCTGGTTCCTTTCTATCATGGAGTCTCGCAGAATCTAAAATACATACAGATAGCAAACTGTATAACGCTACAATTTCAATATAGGAGATAAGTTTATAAGTTTATTTAAATTTTATCTTTTTCTCTCTCTCTCTCTCTTTTTTCTTGTACTATTTCTCTAAAAATTTATCCACACAGTTGGCTTATCTGAACATATTCAACAAATAAATAAAAATTTTTGCTTAGAATATAATATTCTGTGAATAATAAGTAAAGAGAACAGAGTCTATTGCAAATATGTAACTGTGCAATAATATGCTCAAAATTATAAGTTTTTTTTTTCTTTGGATATGAAGTACATATCAGTTTAAAAGTAATTAATATATAATCGCAATTATATATGCATTAGAAATATTCTGTGAATATTTTTGCTTTAAATATAAAAATATTTCAAAAGATTAGACTATTTTTTCGAATACAAATTATTTTCACCGACACTAACATTATATTATGTTTAATATCATTATTATATGCAAAGAAAAATATTATTTCTATACATTTGTAGAGAAATATTCCAATATCTTTTTGTTCGCATTTACAGAAATAAAGACTTAAACCATGGATTAACTACGAATTTAAAAAATTAGCAAAAAGGATGCCATGCAGTTTCGTTTGAAAAGAGAATTGCGTCGTTTAACCTTAATCGTGCCAATCTTGTCCTCTACTGTACACGGCATAGAGCAAGACTAAAATACAAAAAAATAAAGAAAGAACAGAGAGAGGAAAGAGGAGGAGGAGGAGAGAAAGACTAGAGAGATGGAAAGAGAAGAAGGAGGAGAGTAGAGTAGCGCGGATGAATAAAAAAAAAAAAAAAAAGGAAAAATCGGAACCACCGCGCTCCTCCTTGAAAATAAAATCGGTTTTCCGATAACTGGTTATTTGCTCGCACAAGTGGCTCGCTGACTGGGCGAGCACGTCGGAAGCGGTTTTCGCGTGTAATATTATCGAGTTATCGGTAGGATAGAAGAGCATTGATCGTGCCGGGTAGGAGCCGGGGGAAATGGACGAACGCGAAGAAAGAGACCGAAAGGGGATGCCTGCGGGGGTGAAGGAGAGGAGGGAGAGGAAAAGATCGGTGGATAGAATAGCATGAGGAGAGAGATGTGCTGAGGGTAGACGAACGTGCATTGCACGAGTACAATATATCCGCGTGATTACAATATGTCGGGGCTCGAGAGACCAATATCAACCTGAAGTCGGCTCAGCCAATGCTGATAATCCCTATTGTTGATGCCTCCACTCGACTGCCTCTCGCGAATGGATACATCTTGTTTCAAAATTTCGAATGGCTCCAGCGTAGCGAATATATCGACGGAGGTGAATGCTGGCATGATAGAAAATTCCTTCTGAAGTATCTCCGTGATTTCGGCAAAGATTTGAAAATTATAGAAATACACAAAACGTAAAGTTTCTTCGATTTCAAATGAGTTGCGAGAAATACGTAGGAAAATTTTAACGAGAGAATCTATCTTTTCCGCTTTTGACCTCAGACATTTTCATTTAGTTTTCAAGAATATCTCCGAATAAAATTCTCGTTGGAGAATTTCTTGACTAGTAATAAGAAGTATGCCAACTACGCTCTCAATTCAATTCAATGTTATCAGCTGCCAACCATTTTGAATTTCAAAAACTTGTATCTTCACATTAAATGTAAAATTTTCACGAGAGAAATTAAAGATCCTTTCAACATAAAAATACATTTTATTACAAAAAAATGTAAGCTTTATGGACTATTTCACTAGAAGACAAAGTAAGCACATACATCTTGAGTTTCCATTAATTGTCACAAAATTTTTCTGTCAAACATAATATTGTATATTCTAAGAAATATATTTGCTTCAATTGCCATAAAATCGACTTTAGCTTGAAAATAAATCGAAAATTACGTGCATTGCTCGTTCGATCCATTACCGGACCGGCGGTTTTTGCGCTCGAGACCGCGTTAGAAGAGAGGTCGGAATGGCGGATATGTGGACGGTGAAAGAAACGAAACCTGTCCTCATCGTTTATGCTCGGTGTCGGCAGGCTAGGCCGCCTTTCACACATCCCACACGAAAGACGACGACGAAGCTCTCGGTCTCTTTCAAAACAATTACACATTCTTCCATGCCCAGAGTTCTCCCACGTCCTATCGTCTTGTCGCAATATTGTCCGTAGTGCGCTTTGCCGTTTTGTGTTAATGGATCATGGCGAATGCGCGCGATTTACTCGGAGAATTAGCATAAAGAAAATGTCGCCATAGCTTGTATTCTCATTTGTCGCGGCTGTGATTTATCGCCCTCGATCGCCGACGATTACTATATTTGTAAGAGTCATCGGGAGTACCGGCAAGACAGCCTCTCTCTGGAGGAATTAGTACTACATTCACTGTGATACGTCTATCGAATTTCTTGTACAAATATATTATACTGTGCTTTTTAATTACAAATTATTTGTAATTCTTGATATTAATTATATTTATTTATAATTTCAGAACTGCTGAAGAGAAGTTCGTCAATCTACAGAGTCGTAAGTTTTATATGTAATGCATGCTTCTTTATAAAATTGCGATCCCTTAAAAAATAATAGTATAATTATATATGGTATTTATATAGAATTATACTTAGAAAATAATTATTTTTGTTAATCTATTGTGCTTTAATTCTATTAAAGAATTATCCGATTAATCGCTAATGTTAGATTAATAATCCTATTACAAAAATAGATGTAATTTTTTGGTACATTTTTTTCTATTTTTATGTGTTGTGATTCTCTTTCAAAATTATATAATATTAATAAAATTAAAATTAAATTGAATTATA